TGCTCTAAAATAGGCAATGTCTTGATGCTTAAACCGAAATTCTGCAGTTGAATCGGAAATTATCGCAGAAGTCCAAACCGTAATTCTGCTCATGATCGAGATTCAGTAAAAAACGGAAAAAAATATTCTGCCTGAAAACATGAAAAACTTTTAGGGTTCTAATAACATGAATGTATGTCATGCGTTTCGAATAGGGGAATTTCTATTATGATGCGTAGGAACCAAAATAAACAACGAATCTAAGAACGTCTCATGGCTGAGCATCGGTCCAGATGGATGAATAACCTCGCGACGTACAACCAGACCCAACTTTAAATTGTTTTTGTGTTGCATCAGCATGTGGTCCACCTCTAGCATTTCAGGAGTCATTCATGGCCTGTGAGCGATGACGAAATGCGACATGTTCAGAACCAATGAAAAAGGGGGGGGGGGAAGAAGGGAAGGTTCTCCCCCTCCCCATTTTGCTAACAGAACGGATACGAAATTGATGCACTACCGTCTCCCGAAGATTGTGAAAAAAATCAGGCCACTATTGTGCACAACCTTGATGAGAGACTATATAAAATGCACAACCCATCGCGCCTAATTGCTGAATTCTTATTTGAATGAGCTCGCCAAACAGCGGACCTCAATCGACGAAATGCGAGTCACCTGGTCTGTGAGCGGTTGGCGATACGGTATTCACCTCTCGCACCATGCACTATTTACGGCCACGACTGCTACGACTGGTGTTCACGTCTAAGCGCACCAAAGTCACTGTTACTCACGCCGACGCACACAGCAGCTGCAAACGGAAACAACCGACGCCGATTTTCCTGATAGGAACAAGTTTATCACACGAAGCTACGGAATGGCAACGACGATTCAGCGAACTCGGTTATCAATCGACGACGGCCTTGTATTCATCTGAGGAATTAGAATCCTCAAAAAAAGACTCGCTCAACACTTATTATCAAGGCAGGTCCTCCGTCACCAAAGAAACAAGGTGATAAAATCACCAAAATACTAAAACAGCTATCTTAGATCTTGTTACCATTGCACGCGATCGGTGCTTTTTCCCTCCACTCCTTGTCGGCTTTGACAAAGGTTCCTGGGGTCTCTGCAGAAAGTTTGTAGCCAATCAGCCCGTTTCGGCTTTAGCCATGATTGAGCAACTGCACGATCGGGATCAGCCCAACTTTTGGGCAAACGAGGCGTTATCCGAATTTGAACCCCACTTTCCTATTCTTGTCATTTCGCAACAAACGACCCTGCCTCCATCGCTGACTTTTCTGCAAGATGAGATTGACCATGTCGTGGCGCAGAATGACACGAAACAACCGACACTCTCAGCCTTATTAGCGTGGATAGACGAAATGAATATTTGATATTTCTGAACATGCAATGAGACACACGCGTACAAGTTTTTCGTGACTTGAAAAAAGAAGAAAAACTGAGTTCGTTTTTCACTTTATCGTTCCATTTTTCCTTTATTCTCTTTAACAATTCGAGCTTCATCTGTTGGTGAAGAGCAGACATCATGACGAACAACTTGCTGGATGTTGAACCCGTCGGATATTGGGGACCGATAACAAGCTCTGTTGACTGGTCGGAGATACGTCTATAAAAGTAATAGAATCATCATGACTAAAAAAAAGTATGCTCTGTATAGGTGTGAAAAGAATTATACGCATTGGTACTACGTAGCAGAATGGTGGAATACTCTGTCTGTATGTATCGGGGAAAGGTTAAAAAAAAGGGAGGGGGGAGGGAACAAAGTTTACGGTCATCAAGGTAGTAGAAACAGGACATGATTAAGAAATAACCAATGGCGCTCGCTTCTCGTCCCCCTTGTTATTTAGAGTTTAGCCATGATTGTCCTAGGGCTTTTGGGTGTGGGTTCCATCATCGATCGGTCGGTTGGCGGATATCGGGTGCTTACCTCCTCATCATTGTCGTCGGTATTGGCAGGTAATGAGCGCGTGATAAAAAGTCGGATGAGTAAGCCAAACCGAATGTTGCGCTAAATATCGTCGATGGCGATATCCAATCAGTGTTTTGTTTCATGCGACATTACAGTTTGAGCATCAAATTGGGATGAGGTAAAAAAGAGAAAAAAAAAGGCCATTGCCCCTTTTTTGACAATCGGCGGATGGTCTCACCAATGATAATAATTAGGTTCCGATGGTTTGGACCGCATGCTACCTGCTGTGGATTCTGTTAAAAGAACACGGATATGAACGCCACCTGTATGGTATCTGCATTGCATGCTACTGTGGATTGGCGACCTACGTGACCAGTCAATCCAAGGGCACCACTCAATTCTATATGTTCCAAACGTCGTAAGTGAAATACTCTTCGATCGATGGAGAAAAGAAGCCTTTTTATCCCTCCCCATCGACGATTTGGCGAAAAGACTAAATTAGATTTAGTTTCGGAGTTGTCATGTGGAGTTGTTTCTGGTTTGTGTGGAAATCCTATCGGCAAGTGCAAAAAAGCGAAGTCCGCCGACTTTTCCATACCGGCACGTATTATCTCATTGCAGCCATTGGGGTTTGGCTCTTTGATTCCAACCTATGTTTCATTTATGACTATGGTGTACCGAACTTTCAGCTTCATGCCTGGTAAGATAACAGAGAATAAGAAAAAGACGCCAAAGGAGGGAGGAATGATTCAACCGATGTCACTGATGGGTTGAGATCATGGTGACGCCGATCGCATGTTATGCTTATTTCTTTGTTTTTGTGTTATCTTTAGGTGGCATGTCCTGGTAAGGAAAACCTAAAAAAAAAAAAAAGGTTCCTAGTCACCATCAACGCATGGTGAGGACGGGAAAAAAAGTTTAAAAGATGATTAATGTGAAACTTTGCTGTTTTTGTCATGGTATTTGTAGATGTCGATTAGTCTTCATTATTTTTTGTTGCATGTGGACACGAGACCAAGCAAGCCCGAAGTGAATGCCGTCGAATCGGTTATTTTATGAACATTATCCCTTACGTTGAATCGGTGGAAGCCAAGAAGTCATAATGCCATTTTTTAAGGTTTTATAGTTTAAAGCGTGAGACCCAACGGATCGGATATCATGATCCATTTTCAATTTTAAACTATTGTTTGTATATCGTACAGAAAAAAAAAAAACTATTCCCTTTGGAGATCCACATCGACCTTTTTTTTGGGGGGATGGGGAAACAAGAAAAATTTAGAAAGTATGAAGCTGGTCATGGATGATTTGTTTTGATAAACAAACTGAAAAAACAGGAAGAAGGAAAAAAAGGTCCAAAAAGCATGTGGGAAGAAAAAGCCTATTTTTTGGTAATGTTGTTCAATGTTCATTGTTGTTTGTTGGTGAGAAAAAAAAAGTATAATATTTGAAAAGATGGGAAATAAAAAGGGGGTTGGGTGTCATGGCGAAATAGAAAGATGGGGAAAGTTGAAAAAAGCGAGACAAATCATAGAAGGGCATAGAAATTTGCGATTCGGTCTCGACCACAGATGACGTATCGTTGGAAATCGACATTTTTCCCCATTCAGACATTATCCATGCTTTTAAACTAAAAAATGTCGATTTAACCCCTCTGCATAAAAAATGCGGATTTTTTATTTTAGCGTCGATGGATTAGAATCCCCTCAAAATGACCTAAATTGCACTAGTGAAAAACAAAAGGAACGAAGAAAAAAAAGCTTAAAATTTCCTGTTATAAATAGCCATTTGTTCATTTGGCTTTTTTATAACCCTCTTTTTTCCCTCTAGCTCCCTTTCTTTTTTTTTTTTTTTCTCTTTATCATCATCTCCCTCTTTCTTTTTGTGATCTTCGTTTTTTGCCTCTTTTTTTGGACTCCATCTTAGTAATCACTTTTTAATCTGTTTTTTTTTTTTGCCTTTTTGCTTTTTTGTGTGTCTGCTTATTTTGATCTGCTCTTTTTGATCGCTTATAAAGTTTCATCTTTTTTTTTTTTGGTTTCCTTTTTTCCCTTCCGTTTTATCTCTTTTTCCTCTCCCCCCTTCTTTTTGCTTTTTTTTTACGCACCAAATATGGAAACTTTCGTTGGTTATATTAAGACCCCGCAGGATGCTCTCATCGTGTTTGAAGCTTGTCGTCGTGGTCAACTGAGCCGTGTGCAGCGACGATTAAGTAGCAAAGAGCGACTGAATATACGTTCAGGATCGGTATTTGCATGGGATGAACGGGAAGCTGGCATGCGACGTTGGACCGATGGTCGTACATGGTCCCCCAGTAGAGTCCTCGGCAGTTTTCTGACTTATCGCGAACTGGATACCAAACGCCGTCCACGCCGCCCTTCATCGTCGTCGTCGTCATCGCAATCGTCATATCTACCAATTTCCAAAGCGGCTTCCAGCTGTTCCTACAAATCCGGAGGTTTGATCAAGCAAAGTTTCTCGATCTGTACGGCCACAAATCAAAAGATCCATCTCATCTCTTATTACACCAAAGCCGATATTGCTGCCGGTCGTCTTACCCAGCCATCGCAGCATCCCCTCTTATCTCACATTAAAGTTCCCAAAGGACTGTACCCTGAATTAAATCCCTTGGACACCAGTGGTGGTCATTCCGCCACTCTTCATAATTTACGTCAAGATCTCTCGTGTTCAACTGTCCCACCGCTTACCATGGAGTATCATATCTCTACTCCTACTGAAGTCTCCACCATCGCTACCTCCTCCGTCAGTAAAACGCCCGTGTCACCGCCACTCTCATTATCGTCTTCCCCATTTTCCTCCGATGAAGATGTCACCGATCTCGCCTCTCCTTCGTTCCAACCTATGATGATGCCAGCTCAACCGCCTCTCTTGGTTCAAGACATTAACTGGTGCAACCTATCCTCCAGCGAAGACAAACGCCAATTGCAAGCTTTGCAAGGCCAATTACGCTTATGAAATGCATGCCTTCCTTTTACTATCGCTATTCTTCCGTCATCTGCATGCCCCCAAAAAAAAAATTTCTCAAGGAAAAAAGGTAAAAGATTGCAAAAGAACTCCAGATCCTGAAGTAGCAGAAAAACATGGAATCCGATCGAATCCAACAGAAAAAAAAACCAAAAAAAAATTATCACTCAATTCTTATGTACATATATCATGCAACCACCTTTTTTTTTTCTTATCCTTATTCCAGCAGTGAAAAAATAATACCCTATTTTTCTATATTTCTACCTTTAACCAGCAGTTATACTATTCCCTTGCTTTTTCTCTTTATACCTGACCTGACATGTAGTAGATCCATTATACAGTAACTGACCGCTCCTTTTTATTTCATTGTTTTCTCATATTTTGTTTCTTATATCCCCCCTCTATATTTAAGTATTATTTGTACTATGACGAATGTGGCTAGATAGGACCAAAAGAGGGGTTATTCAAGAAGGGGAATGAATCGTAGCAATCAACTAAAAAAAAAGTCGTAATTAGTCAAAGCTTATACTGTGTTGTGGATTTTTGGTTGAGCACAGAAAAAAAAACCATTTTACGGTGTTGCATGTGTGACGGACCCAACAGCACGGAATGAAATTCCCAATTTGGTTTGTTCTTTAATGCGATTGGCATGAAAAAAAAAATCGTCACCCTGTGAACAACGAAGTTCAGGGATGAAATTACAAATAAAATAAAATATTTCTATGGGAGAAAATAAGTGCCCATTCGCCACCAATCGTATTACGCCAAAATCACCTGCTTTCTTCTTTTTTATTGTAATTGTTCAACTGATGTCGTTCAGCCAATCCATCATTGAATTGAAGAAACCATTTTATTTGTTCGAATTGACCTTGGAAGTACGTGTCCACGGATAAATCCTTCGAAATATTCAAAATAAATGATATAATCAATCATTCGATGTGAATGTGTCCAGTCATTGTATTATCATGTGCGAGAAAGGTTCATATGTTCCATATGATGTATGAACATGATCCAGGACCCATCGATCGTAATGTCCTGAAGCCAACCACGTATTTTGCCTCGCATGCCAGCTTTGGGGGGAGACCTTTTACAAGCTGATGATAGGTGCTAGGCTGGGTCATTCTATGGATGATGAATTAGTATACAAATCATGGACAACATTTGACAAATGATTCATCATTTGAAAGTCCTTTTTTTTGCGTATGATCCGTGAATTGCATAATGAACAAGTCAATGATTGTAGTCAATCCCCATTCATTTGCCCGCCCCGGATAATGATCTTCACAGGATACAGTATAGTGCAGAAACTTTGTCAAGTAGGACCATGCAAATACAGCACCGCTCAAAATAAGGGATAGAGGGCTCTAAACCATCCGAAAATCAGAATATGCATACAATCTCATATATGCATGAGATATTTCGGTGATTCCTTTACAGACAGCCGCCCTTGTGATGGTCGACTATTTAGCCATAAAATAGCTAATAAACAATAAATAAAATTGTTACTTGATTGAGACTCACTGAGTCCAAGTACGCAAAGGAAAGGAATTTTCCGACATTCCCCACGTCCTAGAAACAAATCTGCTTTGTTGATCATTGTTTTACGCACAGCCCCATCAGAAATAATAACGTATGATCATAAGAATGCCAATTGTCAGTGCAAACGAATAGCTGGAACACAGGAGCGACTTTTGAAAAGACGCAAACGATGATGGCCTGAAGCAGGAGATGGGACCACGAGAAACACCAAAGCACAAGTTAGAGGGAAATGGATGAAAACAAAGCTTTTGATTGGTTCCCATTCGATCCTTTTTTTTCGATCGATTTCGCAACTTTGCCATTTTGTACTCAGAAGGTCTTATCCCCTGAGAGATCCTCAAAACCATGTGTTCATAATATCGGTTAATCCCAAACATCGTGTCAACCTTGAATCTCCATCTTTGGCTGGAAATATAGTTTTGACACTCGTTACTCCCCCTTTATTTCAAGCAATACGTATCCCTCTTTCTGCATTATTTTCAAATTTACCTTATCCTGCAATCAGAAAAGTTTACTTTATGCATCACCCATCACTTTAATCATGTGTGCCACCGACTATAAAAGGAACCGAAAAGGAATAAGAATAGCAACCCCTGATATTCCCTAAAAAAAGATTCCGCCATATCAGAAGTACTGGTTTGGAGCTCAGCAGTTCAACACTAAACATGATTAGAACCAGTTCTTGGATAGATGATACAAAAGACAAATATATACTTTTTTATTCCATCAATGGACAATTGATTGGAAGAATTCTAAATGATCGCAAATTATACAGAAAGAAAAAAAAAAGGGAAATAATAGGAAATGATGTGATGGAGAAGGAATAATAAAGAAGTGGGTAGATGCGATGAAATATTAGAAACAAGTTGGGATTTGGGAAAGAGAGGGTACTTATTTTCTTTTCTGAGCGAATTTACAACTTGGGACCGGCAGCCAAGGTTTCGGGAGAAGCACCATCCTGGAAGGTCTTGAAGTTCTCGACAAACATACCGGCCACCTTGTGCAAGGATTCATCGAATTCCTTGGGAGTACCCATCCAGATCTTGCGAGGATCCAGAAGCTCATCAGGAACGTTGGTGACCTTGGTAGGGACCTGGAGGTTGAAGACATCGTAGTGGGCGTATTCAGCATTGGCCAATTCACCGTTATGAATAGCATCCAAAATAGCACGAGTGTACTTGAGAGGGCAACGCTTGGCCACGCCAGCCTTACCACCGATCCAGCCGGTGTTGATCAACCAGGCGTTAGCCTTGTGTTCAGACATCTTCTGAGCCAACATGGTGGCATAGCGTTGAGGGTGAAGCACCAAGAAGGGAGCACCGAAACAGGCCGAGAAAGTAGCGGTAGGTTCAACAATACCGTCTTCAGTGCCGGGAACCTTGGTGGTGTAGCCGGAGATGAAGTGGTACATGGCTTGTTCGGGAGTCAACTTGGACACAGGAGGAAGCACACCGAAAGCATCGCAGGTCAACAAGATGATGTTCTTGGGGTGACCACCCATGCAAGGAAGCTTGGCGTTGGGAATGTGGTAGATGGGGTAAGCGCAACGAGTGTTCTCAGTAAGGAAGTCATCAGAGTAATCAACGACACGAGTCTCTTCATCCAACACAACGTTTTCCAAGATGGAACCGAACTTGATAGCGTTGAAAATATCGGGTTCCTTCTCGGCAGACAAGTCAATGCACTTGGCATAGCAACCACCTTCAATGTTGAAGACACCCTGATCGGACCAGCAGTGTTCGTCATCACCGATCAATTTACGCTTGGGATCGGCACTGAGAGTGGTCTTGCCGGTACCGGACAAACCAAAGAAGAGGGAAACATCGCCATCGGGACCTTCGTTGGCAGAAGAGTGAAGAGACAACACACCAGCCTTGGGCATAAGGTAATGCATGACAGTGAAGATCTAAATAACCCAACCATTTAGTACCCAATTTTTTCCTTTGATCCTTTGTCTTTCTTGTATCGCCAAGTTTTTCTCCAAATACTTACACCCTTCTTCATTTCACCAGCGTATTCAGTACCGAGGATGACCATTTCAGCACGCTTGAAGTTGATAGACACCGATGTGGTAGAGGTCATACCGGTGGTGTAGCGGTTAGCAGGGAATTCACCAGCGTTGAAGATGGTGAAGTCGGGGGTACCAAAGTTCTCCAATTCTTCTTCGGTGGGACGGATCAACATATTGCGCATGAACAACAAGTGGTAGGCACGGGAAGCCACCACACGGACCTTGATGCGGTACTTGGGATCCCAACCGGCGAAACCATCGAACACGTAGAGACGAGTACGGGTATTCAAATAATCAACAGCACGTTCACGGTTAATCAAGAAGACCTGTTCAGAGATGGGGGAGTTGACGGGACCCCACCAGATATCCTTGGAAGAGGTTTCTTCTTCGACGATACGCTTGTCCTTGGGAGAACGACCAGTCTTCTTGCCAGAGTAGGCACACAAAGCACCGGCGGAGGAAATCACGGTACCTTGTTCATAGGTCAAAGCTTCTTCGTACAAGACAGCAACAGAAGGGTTGCGCTTGATAGTAACCTATAATAACATGATGCCAAGCCAATAGTAAGTACACCAAGTTCACCAATATGTAGCCCCGAATGATCATCAGGCGGTATGCGACTGTAGGATAATGGTACCTTATCGTAATCAATACCGGCAACTTCATGCAATTCTTCCTCGACCTTGGTGTGGGTCGAGCAAGAGCTGGTAGGACGGCCTGTGTAAGGGGAACCGGGTCTGGAAGCAACCATAATGATAATAAGTTATAGAAGGAACAAAAAAAAAGATAGAGTTATCGTTCAAGGCGATCTTTGACCCCTCTATATATATTCCCCACATCGGTTTTACCTCGTCTTTTTCAGAAAGCGTCTCTTCCGATCGGAGTAGACGCTTTCGACCACTCACGGAAAAGCAGGTCTGCCCCACATGGGATTCGTCGTCATTCTTTCAGACCCCGCTCACCAGGTTGCCTTTTGCAGTCTCCAAGGGGACTGATCGGAGAACATCGTTCCCGATTTCGCCCTAGTCATTATGCTCCTCATAGCAAAATGACGCATGTACCGTTACAAAAAGACCGCGAAATAAATCACCTTTGAGTGACAAATGTAATTCAATGGCTTCACAAATTTATTAGCGTTAATATATTTGTAAAAAGGCGTGAAAAAAAAAGTGCTTTGGGTAAACCATGATCACGACTGAAAAATAAGAAAACTCAAGTCAGACGCTGTGTGGGGTAGAAACCATCACCCTATAGGAATTTTTTATGCGCTGCCCTCATTCTTTTCGCGTGGGAAACAACTGGTAGTTTCGGTGGCTCTTTTTTTCCTTCTTCGTTTTCTGTCTAGGTGAACACCAGCCGAGCGGTTCCTTGGAATCGATTTCAATCTCCTTTACCCTTAGGTTGTTTTGCGTCATTTAGTTGCACAGTTCAACCATCGACAAATTATCAAGGCCACGATCAAGGTGCCCCAGTCTCGTTCTCTCGGAGACAACCCTTGGAGGGTCGGTTGGAAGAAAGGCATTTTACCCTATTTGGTATCATGCGACTCTTATTGGCTCCAGCTCCCATTTGCTCCAGGATATCCATTTTTTAATTGCAGCTCCGAATGGCTGGCACATGTGAAAAGCAAGCTATTGTGGGCGGGCACGAAAAACCTGAAGCGTATGACGCCATGACCGGTCTTCTCATTTGTGCTCATTTACAGTCTTTACTTTGTCGTATTTTCGGTCAACAACTCAGACACACGCTAAGTATGAAACCATTTACGGTTCAAAAAAGAGGAGCACTCCACTCCCTCGTCAAGGGAATCTCTGTTCCACGGTAACCGGATTCACTTTTAAAGGTCAGCTCGGAACGGAAACCTTGTTGTTTTCTCGAACAACTCTTCAGCGGGATCATTCGTATTTCCTTGACATTGCCGTTTCCTTTGAGGGTGCAGAGCAAAATAAGGTCACACACAAGGAGATCCGTAAATTGCATTAAAGCAAGCATTCAATGAAATAAAACCTTCTATTACTGCTACGTCATTTATTCCCAGCGTATATTATGGTGCCGCTTTTTAAGGTAGGGATAGCAAACGTTGGTTCATGAGCAGCACAGGGGAGGCATATACAGTACAAGCATTAGAATTTCGGATATACCTTCTTGGACCTGTCGGCTTGTTTGCATGAAAATATTTGAGAATCATGCAATTTCCTGAGCTTGATCAGGTCTTGAAAAGGAAAAATTATTGAGTTTACCGAATTTGCTAATTACTGAGTAAGACAGCAAATTCGATCGAACTTTCGATTCAAAAAAGTTCTTAGCAATGCATTGACAAAATCTCTCAAACAAGGATATTTTGTTGCGGATAAGAAACAGCACTGAACTCATTGTAGCAGATCAAATCAAGCAAATGATGCCTTGTATGCCGTTTCGTTCTGAGCAGCGAAGCACTTGCGTATTTTCTGTTTGATTCCGCTAGTCGATGGTCTATTGTTTCCGTAAATAATGAACAAAGCTGAAGAAATCTTTCCGTAACAGAGTTTCTGGTAGGCAGCCTTGGACTTGATGTTGGCAGGACGAGTTTGAGGGACAAAGATACAGTGATTCGATCGTTTTTCCGGGTAGCTAGGCCAGTGCGCCAAAACGGAAAGATCCCATCAATTTTTGAATTAACGCAGCCTGATTTGATTTCTCTATGCTGAAGACTGGCCATTTTTGATACGCAATATGTCTTCTATGAATAATACAAAATTTGACAATCCAGTACGTATTCTTCAGAGACAGAGAGAGTTACTCTGAAGATATCCTTAGAAAATTTTTTCATATGGGATTGGGTTATATCATTTCCATGGAAATGGTAGATGATGGGTTCAAGCGGGACGTTTTCATGTTGAATATCGGCTGAGGAACATTTTTGGATAATATCGCCTCTTCTGGCTGTTATGGCTCAAAATAAACCATCACATCCGTTCCGACGAGCTTTTACCGATGCGTCGTGCTTCAATGTTATGGTGCATGTGATGTGCTGCTAGGCGAAAAAATTAAATTAAAAAAATTCAAGCTTGGACGTGACGAAATAGCCGCACAGACAACATTTCAGGACTTGTGTTCCAATTTTGGAAACTGTGACACTCAGTTCATATCATTCATCCGCGTCCCATTTTTTTCCTCGCATTCTGGTTTTTTTTTTCTTCTGCAAAGTAATTGGTCTAACAAAGAAATGAGCTGGTTCCAACGCCAAATTCGATTGCAAAGACGTGGCAAAGGTAGGTTACCACAATCAAACAATGTACGAATACAACTGTTGAAGCGCCGTATACGGACTTGTTAGGTTGCCATTTGGTCCATGACGAAATTGTAAAACAAGTGCCCGAGATTCGCGACTACAAGGTCGGCATGGCCAATATTTTCTGTAAGTTGGGTACTTTGACGGTGAGCTGCGTGGATCGGGTGAGCGTGGCGATGCTCATGGGTTATTGTTTTTAGTACAACATACATCTGCCTCATTGATGCTCAATGAGAACTGCGATCCTGATGTGCGACGCGATATGAATATGGCGCTTGATAAAATCTGTCCTGAAGATTTTCCATATATTCATACCGATGAAGGCCCAGATGATATGGTAATTTGCATATCTCATCATGAGTTGTTGTTTTTTTATGGTGGTTATCTAATTTGGATCGCTCTGCAGCCTGGTCATTTGAAATCCGGCATTATCGGTGTTTCGTTGAATATTCCCATTTCAAACGGTCGCCTGGCAACAGGCACATGGCAAGGGTAAATTAGAAGCATGTTACTTATCGAGGAAGCGAGTGATGGCTAACATGGTATGATGTAGCATCTATCTTTGTGAGCATCGCAATCACGGCGGCGATAGAAAGGTGGTAGTCACCCTTCAAGGAGAAAAGAAATAAATAGAATATAAACCGATGATTATTGTTGATTTTGATGACAGGGAAAGCAAAACGATGTAAAAGTACATCACTGAATAAAATGAAAATTCTAAAAAGCAAATAAAGATAATGGGATGTGAATAACAGTTTTGCTGTGGAATAAGTGCAGACAGCATTAGCGGAACAATGCAAGAATAAATAGGTAAAGGCAGCTCAGCAAAAACAGATCGACCACTGTCTATGATTCAGCGGCCTTCAACTTTGCGTGGATACGGTCCAGGCAGGCTCGTTCCTCATCGGTGAGCAATTGGAGCGGTTGTCGGTGAAAGAACGATGGGAGCATCTTCGGGCAAAATGACGTAATGGAAGTGATTTTTTGACAAGAGGCGGGTGGCTTCATTCAAAGGTTGGTAAATCTGTTGCAAGACTGTAGACGATGAGCTGGTCCGGCTTTGCATGTTACTGGTTTTCGGCTCCATCTGTCCTCTTTCGGCTTCTGTCAAACTGCTGTCGTCCCACCACCAATTCTTCGTTATTGGCCACTTCGTGAGGCCGGGGTATCACTGTGGAAGCAGTAGTGGGATCGAACGTCATTGGAAATTTCTTGGGTGACCACCAATAGATAGGGTAACGACGATCGATATTATTGATAAGAGTAGCAATACAGATCTGCAATGAGATGGATAACACCACAATGCCAATGTAGTACCATTTCATGGCCACCGCCGTATCTTGTACCACCGCAATCAGGGCTGTGGCTCCCCCAGGCGGATGCACCGTCTTAGTGACTTGCATAACAACCAACGTCAATGCCATCGCTGTGGCTCCGGCAACCCACATAACAGCATGCTCTTGACCCTCAGATACCCAATCTTTGGGTACTTGGGTAAACAATTGAGAGATAATCACGCCCACCAAGGCACCGAAAAAATGCCCAAAAAAGGCGTTGCGCGGTTGCCCCAAAGGTGAATCAATCGCACCATACAACAGCACCGCCGATGCACCCTATACCAATGGTGGAATGAGTCGGCCATTGCATCTCATCATGCCGTTTTATTTCATGGACTTACAAAACTGCCAATAATGACGGGCGTTTTATGGATCTGGAACTGGGCACCACATGCAAACACCACTTCCAAGATTATGATGCCAACCCACGCTCCGCAGGAATGACCAGAGACACACTCGCCATAATGGCAATATGCGTGGCTTATATGTAGGCTTGCGATAACCAAGGAAATGGGCTATAGGATATGGTAACGAAGCGAGAGTAAACATGGATCAATCAACAAAAATTACTAAGCGGCGGAACAGTTTTTTTTTATCCAGAGAAACATAACAAAAAGTTGGTCTCATTGGCCAAAAATGTGGAATATATTAAGTCTTTTTTTTGATTTTCTGGAAATCAAGCGAGTCATGTCATTGTGCGTAAATTTTTTTTATATATATACATATGCATGTGTGGATGGTGTGCTTTTCGCTTGGTTTTTTTACTCTATTGAGGATCACCCCTTTTTTTTCGGTGTGTGTGTTTCTTCACGCATGCACGGCGGAAGACCGACGGCTCTGATCATGATGGCGTGCTTTCTCCAATTCGTCTTGTTTGTGTTCATCCAGGGTTTCAAGCATGGCTTCAGCTTCCTTGACAAGCGCTCTTCTTTGACGTCGGATGTTCTCGTTCCCCTCGGACTGCACGGCGTCCAATTTAAACATACATCGCATGATCTCGTCCTCGCATCCCAAAATGCTCGATTGTTCGCCGTCGTGGCCGTCAATAACAAGGTGCCATGCGATTTCTGGAACTGAAGCGGAGCCCCCGATAACTGGTGTTCGTATTTCACCCTGATACCATCCAACTCTTCCTTTAGTTTTTTCAATTGACCAAAACGTTCATCGTTTTCTTGCTCGTCTGCTTCCTCGTTTGCTGGTGGATTTTCTTTTGTAAGTGGTTCGATAGGACTCACTTGGTCGTCTTGACGCTGCTGAGCCGCAATTTCATGGACACGTTGAGCTTCGTTCTCAAGCTCTTCCGCTTCTTTAGCCTCAAGCGATGCGATTCCTTGTCTGATTTCTTTCATCGGCGAGGGTTCCGCGGCGGTAACAACATGCTGTGGTGCAAAGTCGGGAATATCGAGTTGCTTGGAAGGGCTGGGTTCTTCCTTTTCTTCGGGACCACCCACGATGTGAGGATCATCGGCGGCCCAAATACCCGATGGTTTGGGTTCATCGCTTTCTTCAGCATTCACGGGCACAGCCACCAATTCGTTGAGTAAATCTTTCAAGGTCATGACGTGACTATCCACTGGCGGTAATGCTTTAATTGTATCCTCTTTTGGTTCCTCCTCGCTTTCCTCTTCTTCGACTCGCGGAGATTCTTCCTTTTCCGGTGCTTCCTGTTTCGGGACTTCCGTTTGTGGAGCAGTTTCGTTGCATGTCTTTTCGTCTCTCAGCTGCTCATGCTCCGGGGCCAAGAAAGCGGATCGCGGTGTTTCATTTTCCGGAACGTATTCATCAGAGTTTTCGTCTCGTTGGGCTTGTTGCTCAGCAATGTAATTCCAAAGATCGCCGTACGACTGCTGTTCTTCCTCGCTGTCCTCTTCTTTCGGTTCATGCTGGTCTTGTTCTTGCTGTTCAGTCACCAGTGTATCATCGACCTGCCCAAAGACCGTTTTAAGAAGTGAAGCCAGACGTTGGGAACGATAATCTAGGAATTCCGGATCTTCTTCCTCAGACGAGTCGGCATTCGTGGCGGCGGGTTTTTGACCTGTAGCTTCTCGATTGGCTACGTATTGCCGCCAAAACGCATTGGCTCGCTGACGTTCAATGGCCGCAGCGAGACACTGGCGATAGAACCGTTCTTCTTCTTCCTGTTGAACGGCACGGATAAGCGCCCTTTGTCTATAATTTGCGAGACATCGCTCAATTTGACGGCATTTTTCCCGTCGATAATTTTCTTTGAGAAGTCTCAGATTCTCGATGGCTTGCTGCAGCCGGGCTTGTTCGCGCCTTGCTCTCCATGAATCCGGCGATGCATAAGGGTGCATGTGCTGATGATTATAATGAGCGTGACCAGCGTGGTGATGCGGATGATGAGGCTGATGATGATGGTACTGCTGCTGACGTTGCGCTTGCTCGTACCGAAGCAAAGCCTGCAGTTGGAGGTAATCATCCAACGACAGCGTTCTTTGAAGGACAGAAACTCCTGGACGAACAAGAAGTCCTACGGTTGAATGATCGAAATACATTGAGAGAAAGTAACAAAAGAATGATAGAAAAAGATAGAACAATAGAGGGTAAAGGTGTCTAAAAAAAAGTCCAGTTATGCGTGATTTTTTTTTTTGCTTGGCTGGGATTGAAAACCTAATTCATCCCATACGATCAAACCGGGCCAATGCGTGTTTTCTTACGTCATGTTTCTTTCTGTTTTTAGACAATCTGCTGGACTTTAGAAAATATTTGTTAGTCCATTCACAGGATATCCCAGTGGGAACTGGCTTCACAAGATAACAAAAGCGCGTGCAGATAATATGTTCAAAAGCTGGTTACCAATGAAGGAATGCAGTTATATGGTTTTTTTTTGGTAAAAACCGATAAACTAGAGTGAAGTATTCTCCTTTGCGTTGGTCAAAAATGATGGATGCGATCATTGGATATGTAGTTATTTTACCTCACTGTACGATCCGGATTTCTATATCCAGTCGCGCGAAAGGAAACAAAAAGTTCACACCTCATCCTGCTAGTCGCTGAATATTTAGCTGCCTTACCTCTGGAAAGTTCGAAAAAGTTTCCTTCAGTCGTTCTGCGACGAAGTAAGGAAAAAGTTAAAGCAAGCATTCCAGAATTAATAATATCGCGAACTACTTTGTTTGACGTTGTAAAACAACATTGCAATCTATTAGTCTGAGGCTAAGTGATTTAAAGTTAGGCATTCACACAATTGCTTAATTTAAGGTAGTATATTCTCGCTCTTTCAAAGATGGATAAGTCTTGAAAGGCAGGCACTATAAGAGAGCCCTAATTCCATGGAATCAAGATCATTGATATAAAAATAAGGTAATTTGCCTTGCGAATGTCTTTTATATGTTTGCCACGCATGCTGTCAGTGTACTTGCCAGCGAGCCTTTGATGTCAAGCGTAATCCAGCCAATGAATGAAAAACCGTCATCTTCCAAAGGGTTGTTTTCGACACCTTCAATTTTCATTGTTTTCGACAGCTCAACTGGCTTTTTTTTCTGTTATGTCAAACAAGATACACTTTTTCCTCTTTACTCGGTGTCTCACAGATTCTCCCCGTTGTTTGTACGTCACTAACTAACTCGGCCACGGTAATCTCTTTTATTTTTGATATAAAAACGTTACTTTTGAGTCAATGAGTTTTTTTTTTTTTTTTCCATTGGTGGTAAGCGCTCTTGAGGCTGACATGTTGAATAATTACTGAAGTAACCTTGGCGGCGCCACCATAAAAGCAAGCTTTCCAGTTGATCTTGTCATCAACTCCTTCCTTGTATGCTTGAACGTATTGCCAATTTCTTGCGTTGGCGTTGTTCGACTCATGGTCGTTTTTGTATGTAACCTCCGGCGAAGGTGACGTCGGGCTCATGCATTACCGCTTGCATGTTCGAACGTATGTCATTACTTCGTGCAGCCAGTCTAAAGTTCGCTTTTTGGCGTCTGAGTTATCGACGTCCTCGTCAGGATGACTGCTGCCTCGTTATATCGTGATGCGATCATGGCCAGCAATCGTCAATGGCGTTGGGTCCTAATCCAAACCATGAGAAGAATCAGTGAAAGTAAACTGAATTCTAATAGTCCCGAGAAAAACTTGCTGAACCGATCCGTTCCTGGACGGTTGGTGAAGGGGAACGGGAAAAGAACGGATCGGTTGGCCAAGGGTAATCGAAAAAATCGTACAAGGTGTTGACAACACCCTCTTGATACTTGTGCTGAAACGCACCTTGGTCAAGGTGTCTTTGACTTTGGTCCAAGTGGACTTGCAATGCGCAGAGACGGGCCCTGTTCCCAAGTCCTCCAGACTGTCCCGTGCGCGGCGAACATGTTTTCAGTGGTACGTCACCGTTGAAGATTCGCTCCGAGACGGTTGACGAAACGTGGAAGAAAAAACAGTGCCAAGGTGTTGATATCAACACCTTACCACTGGGACGGACAAACACACCTTGATCAAGGTGTGTTTGACCTTGGTCCAAGTGGACTCGCGGTGCACTGATCACCGGGGGGGCAGAGACGGACCCTGTTCTCAGGTCCTCCAGACTGCCCGGAGGGGTGGCGAGCATGTTTTCCGTAGTAGATCGCCGTCAAAAGAAGAGAAATAGAAACTCGCTTCACATCCAAGCGAGGGAAGGCTTCATGCGGCGGTTCTTCGCAGTCGAGTGGCGGCTACGAGCACGATGGTAGCTATCATGCTGGTAACAAAAGGGAGCGCCAGTAGTAGGGGAAGTCCTCTTAAAGTACAGGAAGCCAACATGCCTCAAGACCGGGAGTTAGTTTACAACTTTGTCCGCTCCCTTCGTACGCCCATCAAGGTCAAGGGGTGTGAACTCTTGAGACCCATCTCTATGCAGCTTTCCGACTGGATTGACGAGCAGGTGCACCGCAAGCTCACTTGGACCAAGGTCGACGAGAAGGGGTTCGATTAGATGGCGGTACTTTGACCAAGGTGTGCTTCTCGTGCAAGTACCAAGAAGGTCATTGTCGACACCGTATATTTGATTTCCTTCATCCTTCGCCACCGTCCGGGAACAGACCTGAGGAGCAAGCTTGTGTTGCAGTGCGAAGAAGCGAAGAAAATATACTTATCGGAGTAATCGTTGGTGAGTTAAAAAATATCATATATATCATCTTTTAATGTTTAAAAATTGCATATCATTATTTAGTTTTTCTAATTTTGATTTTCTTCTCGGCACTATTAGAATTCAGTGTATACTCACTGGTTCTGGTTCTGGTTCTTCCCATCGTTCGGATTAGGACAAGGCACCATTGACGAATATTGAACAAGATCTACTGAATGGCCATATGGATTGAAGTACAATGTTGTTATGCCGCCGACAGCTCAAAAACCTGCCACGCGTCCTCATCGAGGTGCGAGGTGCAAGATGTTGTCGATAACAACTTCTTGTACTGTGTTTCCCGTTACTGGGAGGAAATTGCGACCGAGTATGGCGTGGCACCGATCGTTCTGGTGATTGCCATACATGAATGCAGCCGCCGGTCTTGGTCATTCAGATGCGACACTGCGCCTGACAATGGGCGTTTTCCGTTATTTTCGCAACTTGCCGCCAATGCGGCGTGAACGATGGTCGGATTTTGTGGTTTGGCAGTTCATGGCGTGCCGACTTTTTGCAGTTGGGCACTTGTGCCCGACGTGGTCAGCTGCGGGACGCCCAAAACGTTTGTGAATGCTTTCCAGGGGGAACACCGGCAAGCGTTCAACAGTTTTCGGTTGATGTTGATCGCCCTCGACCAAATGGATGACATTCTTCTTCTGGCCATATGTGGTGTCGGGAGCGTCGGCTAGGCCCGACGATGATTCTGCTTTGTCCCTCTTGTCTGCTCTGGACGATAAGCAACGAAGCTCAAATCAAAGCCTCTTTTTCGCAAGTCGCCGTGCTATCCGTGGGCAGATAAATGTTCCTTTCAATTTCTTGAAAAAGCGCGTATGGATAAAACACTGTTGGACCCGGTTGTTGCGCTTTGCTCATTCTTCGGTGAACAAAAACAATCATTGGCCGAACACGCCCACCATAATGACCCGACGATTAAGCAGTTGTACTGCATCGCGGAACGGATCTTCAATTATCAAGTTACGGCTGATCACGTATTAGCTACTTGCTACGTGTAATCGATGATGCAGAATCACGGTAGGACAAGGCCATTGGCATGCTGGGCGAAGACACTGACGATGCCAACACAAAAAAGAGGACGATCGATTATTTAAAAGGAAGGAATGGCCATGTTGAGAACATGCAAGCGCCAGTGCATCGACTCATCAGCATCAGCATCATCCCCTTGCCAGAGTCTGCCACTTGCTCTGCCTGCGATACAAGAGACCCGTCACCGCAATTGCCAGACGAGGATATTAGAAACTGGCAATTTATTGAACAATAGCTGGAAGAAATCAGCAATGATGAAAAGAACTGGCAAGCTTGTTTCAGTGATGGCTGCTGAAAAAGCTGCTTCAATACACGTTAGCATTTGGAGTGCTTACCACCACTGGAAAACAGCAACTGGTTCACAAAAAATACTTACGTATCAAAAATAAAAGAAAAGTGTAATCCTAACGAAAAAGGTTATGTTCTTGGGTGACATCCTTCATGTTCCAAAAACACCATGTTGTTTGTTGCCTTCGCACCCTGTACTTCTGGTTTTATCTGTGGCGACGGCCAATGAGAAGCCGTCATTTTCCCGAAGAAACGAAAAATAGCGGTTTTTTGTTGTCACAAGCTGTCCTTTCAGAGGTTTCTATACTTTACTTTTAGACTTGAGATGATAGGAGAAGAGAGGATAAATGCTTCCTCAGAGTGCAAATTGCGACGATCATGAGGTTGGAACGTGAGGGAGAAGTCCAGTTGCCAAGCTTAACAACGTCATCCAGAGCGATGCCTCGGCGGCGGTCAGGGCCGAAGCGATAGATCGTATAGTGACTTAGCGTTCGGAGGTAGATAGGCGAATGAGTTTCCGGAGTCAACACTGATTGTTGGCTACATAGACTGGTTTATTGGGGTGATAAAAGTTGATAAAAGTTGATAAACAAGGTATCCGAAAGTCGACGTTAAGCTAGTGGTAATGTTGCAGTTGTTGAAAGGCGCGTACGGGACAAAGGGTGGCGTCGTGGTGCGGATGGACGAGGAATGGTTTGATGATCCAGTGCCCCTTTCTGCGCTCTTTAGGTGTGACCACTACAAAGGTGAGAATATTGCCGGAAGATATTTTAGTGGACGTCAACGAAATATGTTGGAGTTCGGAGGATCGTAGGAAGGTAGCCATGGTAATCAAGAAGAGAATCTTGGGTTGCGGCTGAGATAGAGTGCAATGTGTGTTTAAAGATATACCACTCAAATAGCGCAAGGTATTGCTCAAATCAATAGACGGGCGATGGATGGGGAGCGGTAGCGCCGCGGAAGCAAGTGATGTTATCAAATCATTGACGCGAGTGTCAAATAACTAGAGAGTATGGTTGCTGATGAAGAAGAGGTACCGCCTCCCTCCAGACTTTGATCGTACTCAGTTGATCGTGCCAGTGCTGTGAATAAATGAAAAAAATTAGCGAGATCGGCACCTGAAAGTCGGAAAAGAGGATAGGATGATCGTGGGCCCAGGCCAGGAAAGCGAATCGAGCAGGAAGGTCAGCAACGTTGGTGACGTTAAATAGAGCGGCTTGGCACTCAAGCGTTGCTGTGCTATTGGAGAGAGATCGGAAAGTTCTATCGCTGACAGAGAGTAGCCACACGGAGAGTCTCGAGGTCTTGTGGTGAAGCGGCCACGCAGTCATCGGGCTGGTGCACTGAATGTGGCGATGATCGAAGTACTGTGGGGTTGCAGTGGCCAGGCGAAGGAGAAGTGGACGAGATAGGGCGGATTCCCAGCCCAGAGTCACCAGGGTCACCAGAGTCACCGGAGGAAGTATTGCGCGGACAATCTTGTGCAGGATTATGTGATCAAGTTCCAAGCTTGTAATTGCAGGGATACGCGGTTTTCGTCATCCGAGTTGGGAAGCATAGTACCTTGTAAGGCTACGAGATCGAGAGCTTCTTCACGTAGGAATGCACGAATAAGGATTGTGTGATTTAGCTACTCCTTTGCAGAGACAGCGGCAATCGAGAGACCCAATAAGTAGACTCATTATTGAGAGTGTGGGGTAGAAGAAGGGTGGATGGACGAGGCTTCCTCACCCTCATCCTCATCCATGATGGTATCAGCACCGTCGTGACTGGGAATGTATCTTCATCTTTATTAGCATTATATTTGCTGGTATCTAGGTTAAGAATTGTCACAGGAACAGTGTGTTGTATATTGGTTGAGACTTGAGTACGGTGAAACTGTTTTATTCTCGAAAGAGATCATCTCGACAATATCTTGCGGTAAAGAATATATATCGGGATCGGGATTTAATATACAAATGATGTGTCAATACTTTGTGTCTCTAATCTGCTTCAACCGAGGTAATTCTTCTGTAGTGGCATATGTAAGCCCTATCTATACAATACAGTGGAAGCGCCGTCAGACGTCGCTTCCTTCAGTTGCGTGTTGAGTGAAATCAGAGTGCCTTGATTAGTTGGGAGAGTCGCTAGAACGGCGAGCTACATTAAGTGACGGAGATCCATCACTGTGAGAATTTATAGAAGACAAGTTGGCCTGAGCAGAGTTGTCGGTCGATGATCCTGAAGCACTTGAATCTGGTTGGTTGACCAGTAGCCGGTCCAGCAAGTTGCTGTTGACACGGCGGGGTCCGTAACCTGCAGGCTGATTTTCTTTTTTGATCGTGGGAACGGAAGGCGTAGTTTCCTTCGTTTCAGAAGTGGAACTTGTGTTGTTGCGATGCTTTTTGGGGCAGAGCGTCGCAGGATTGGGGGAGGGCAAGCGACAGCAATGTGGCAGCTGTAATCTCTTGTCTTGTCCTGTCTTGTCTTATTCCTGTCCTGTGAAAGCACTAAACACCTTTTTGTTCCTGTCGCTTTCTTGTTTTATGCGTTTTCACCCTGTCACCCTCCAGTATTGTCCGTACTCTTAGATGGTGTGGTGGTTGATCGGCTGGCTTGCTCGCTATCGATGCTAGCAGTGATGGATTCGCGAAGACCCATTGGTTGCTGCCATAAAAAAGACCACCGAGCGATTGTTGTCGTCTTCTAAAAATCACTGTAGTCGACAACAACGCACAATTCTGTACCGGTAACTAATGAACGAAGAATGTCAACATGCACTTATTCGTTGCTTCTATGAATAATGACGGCTTCTTATTGGCTGCTGCTAAAAAAGCACCCAGAAGATTGAACAGCTGTATTTTTAAATATCGAGAGCAATTTTCAGCGTGGTTTTTTTAGCACCAGCCAATGGGAAGCCGTCATTATTCATAAAAGCAATGATACGGGTATGTGGCTGGCGATTAAAGAAGAACGAAAATAGGGATCGGGGAATGAGTGGTAAGCGATAAAGCCCGCGGTACAGATATGATCAAGGTAAAATAAAACAGTGAAGGTCGTTGCACGGTTTCCGCCTTCCCGCAAAAATATACGATCAGTACCGTTCTGATAATACTCCTTATTGCCGTTCTGATACTGCAATCCAAGTATATTTCCGTGACAGTCAAAGTCGATATAATGTTAGAAATAGGGTCGTCAATAAGTCTGCTGTCAGCACGAAATAAACGTAAGGCCCCCAAAAAAATAGATCTCAAAGAAGAGTCGATTTATTCACAATGCACGATCAATTCGATTTAAGCTAAAATTTACATTCGCAAATTCCGGGCCGCATGCCGGACAGCCAACTCCGGACCAATATTTTAAATGCCGACCGGAACATCCACAACAGGCCGCATCAGCAACGAATAAGTGCATGTTGACGCTCTTCGTTTCATTAGTTTCCGGTACAGAATTGTGCGTTGTTGTCGAAACATATTTTCATTGGCTTGCGCATCTTCAATTCTTGTTTTGACCGGCAGCCAATGTAGATCCGCCATTTCAAAAAAAACCAAAAGAACAGGAGTTTAAAACAAATCGACAACAACAACTAAAACACTTGTTGTCGATTTTTTTTTTTTGTTGTCGATTTTTTTTAAACTCCTGTTCTTTTGGTTTTTTCAAAATGGCGGATTTTCATTGACTGTCGCCTTTTTAACTTTTGTTTTTTTGCCACTGGCAACCAATGTAAATCCGCCATTTTGAAAAAACCAAAAGAACAGGAGTTTAAAAAAATCGACAACAAAAAAAAAAAATCGACAACAAGTGTTTTAGTTGTTGTTGTCGATTTGTTTTAATCTGTTCTTTTGGTTTTTTCAAAATGGCGGAACAGACAAAAAAAAAAAAAAAACGACAACAAGTGTTTGTTGTTGTTGTCGATTTGTTTAAACTCCTGTTCTTTTGGTTTTTTCAAAATGGCGGATTTACATTGGTTGCCAGTGGCAAAAAAACAAAAGTTAAAAAGGCGACAGTCAATGAAAATCCGCCATTTTGAAAAAAACCAAAAGAACAGGAGTTTAAAAAAAATCGACAACAAAAAAAACACAAAAAGAACAGAAGTTTAAAACAAATCGAAACAACAAAACAACAACAAAACACTTGTTGTCGATTTTCTTTTTTGTTGTCGATTTTTTTTAAACTCCTGTTCTTTTGGTTTTTTCAAAATGGCGGATTTTCATTGACTGTCGCCTTTTTAACTTTTGTTTTTTTGCCACTGGCAACCAATGTAAATCCGCCATTTTGAAAAAACCAAAAGAACAGGAGTTTAAAACAAATCGACAACAACAACAAAACACTTGTTGTCGATTTTTTTTTTTTGTTGTCGATTTTTTTTAAACTCCTGTTCTTTTGGTTTTTTCAAAATGGCGGATTTTCATTGACTGTCGCCTTTTTAACTTTTGTTTTTTTGCCACTGGCAACCAATGTAAATCCGCCATTTTGAAAAAACCAAAAGAACAGGAGTTTAAAACAAATCGACAACAACAACTAAAACACTTGTTGTCGATTTTTTTTTTTTGTTGTCGATTTTTTTTAAACTCCTGTTCTTTTGGTTTTTTCAAAATGGCGGATTTACATTGGTTGCCAGTGGCAAAAAAACAAAAGTTAAAAAGGCGACAGTCAATGAAAATCCGCCATTTTGAAAAAACCAAAAGAACAGGAGTTTAAAAAAAATCGACAACAAAAAAAAAAAATCGACAACAAGTGTTTTAGTTGTTGTTGTCGATTTGTTTTAAACTCCTGTTCTTTTGGTTTTTTTTGAAATGGCGGATCTACATTGGCTGCCGGTCAAAACAAGAATTGAAGATGCGCAAGCCAATGAAAATATGTTTCGACAACAACGCACAATTCTGTACCGGAAACTAATGAAACGAAGAGCGTCAACATGCACTTATTCGTTGCTGATGCGGCCTGTTGTGGATGTTCCGGTCGGCATTTAAAATATTGGTCCGGAGTTGGCTGTCCGGCATGCGGCCCGGAATTTGCGAATGTAAATTTTAGCTTAAATCGAATTGATCGTGCATTGTGAATAAATCGACTCTTCTTTGAGATCTATTTTTTTGGGGGCCTTACGTTTATTTCGTGCTGACAGCAGACTTATTGACGACCCTATTTCTAACATTATATCGACTTTGACTGTCACGGAAATATACTTGGATTGCAGTATCAGAACGGCAATAAGGAGTATTATCAGAACGGTACTGATCGTATATTTTTGCGGGAAGGCGGAAACCGTGCAACGACCTTCACTGTTTTATTTTACCTTGATCATATCTGTACCGCGGGCTTTATCGCTTACCACTCATTCCCCGATCCCTATTTTCGTTCTTCTTTAATCGCCAGCCACATACCCGTATCATTGCTTTTATGAATAATGACGGCTTCCCATTGGCTGGTGCTAAAAAAACCACGCTGAAAATTGCTCTCGATATTTAAAAATACAGCTGTTCAATCTTCTGGGTGCTTTTTTAGCAGCAGCCAATAAGAAGCCGTCATTATTCATAGAAGCAACGAATAAGTGCATGTTGACATTCTTCGTTTCATTAGTTACCGGTACAGAATTGTGCGTTGTTGTCGACTACAGTGATTTTTAGAAGACGACAACAATCGCTCGGTGGTCTTTTTTATGGCAGCAACCAATGGGTCTTCGCGAATCCATCACTGCTAGCATCGATAGCGAGCAAGCCAGCCGATCAACCACCACACCATCTAAGAGTACGGACAATACTGGAGGGTGACAGGGTGAAAACGCATAAAACAAGAAAGCGACAGGAACAAAAAGGTGTTTAGTGCTTTCACAGGACAGGAATAAGACAAGACAGGACAAGACAAGAGATTACAGCTGCCACATTGCTGTCGCTTGCCCTCCCCCAATCCTGCGACGCTCTGCCCCAAAAAGCATCGCAACAACACAAGTTCCACTTCTGAAACGAAGGAAACTACGCCTTCCGTTCCCACGATCAAAAAAGAAAATCAGCCTGCAGGTTACGGACCCCGCCGTGTCAACAGCAACTTGCTGGACCGGCTACTGGTCAACCAACCAGATTCAAGTGCTTCAGGATCATCGACCGACAACTCTGCTCAGGCCAACTTGTCTTCTATAAATTCTCACAGTGATGGATCTCCGTCACTTAATGTAGCTCGCCGTTCTAGCGACTCTCCCAACTAATCAAGGCACTCTGATTTCACTCAACACGCAACTGAAGGAAGCGACGTCTGACGGCGCTTCCACTGTATTGTATAGATAGGGCTTACATATGCCACTACAGAAGAATTACCTCGGTTGAAGCAGATTAGAGACACAAAGTATTGACACATCATTTGTATATTAAATCCCGATCCCGATATATATTCTTTACCGCAAGATATTGTCGAGATGATCTCTTTCGAGAATAAAACAGTTTCACCGTACTCAAGTCTCAACCAATATACAACACACTGTTCCTGTGACAATTCTTAACCTAGATACCAGCAAATATAATGCTAATAAAGATGAAGATTACATTCCCAGTCACGACGGTGCTGATACCATCATGGATGAGGATGAGGGTGAGGAAGCCTCGTCCATCCACCCTTCTTCTACCCCACACTCTCAATAATGAGTCTACTTATTGGGTCTCTCGATTGCCGCTGTCTCTGCAAAGGAGTAGCTAAATCACACAATCCTTATTCGTGCATTCCTACGTGAAGAAGCTCTCGATCTCGTAGCCTTACAAGGTACTATGCTTCCCAACTCGGATGACGAAAACCGCGTATCCCTGCAATTACAAGCTTGGAACTTGATCACATAATTCCTGCACAAGATTGTCCGCGCAATACTTCCTCCGGTGACTCTGGTGACCCTGGTGACTCTGGGCTGGGAATCCGCCCTATCTCGTCCACTTCTCCTTCGCCTGGCCACTGCAACCCCACAGTACTTCGATCATCGCCACATTCAGTGCACCAGCCCGATGACTGCGTGGCGCTTCACCACAAGACCTCGAGACTCTCCGTGTGGCTACTCTCTGTCAGCGATAGAACTTTCCGATCTCTCTCCAATAGCACAGCAACGCTTGAGTGCCAAGCCGCTCTATTTAACGGTCACCAACGTTGCTGACCTTCCTGCTCGATTCGCTTTCCTGGCCTGGGCCCACGATCATCCTATCCTTTTTCCGACTTTCAGGTGCCGATCTCGCTAATTTTTTTCATTATTCACAGCACTGGGCACGATCAACTGAGTACGATCAAAGTCTGGAGGGAGGCGGTACCTCTTTTCATCAGCAACCATACTCTCTAGTTATTTGACACTCGCGTCAATGATTTGATAACATCACTTGCTTCCGCGGCGCTACCGTCCCATCCATCGCCCGTCTATTGATTTGAGCAATACCTTGCGCTATTTGAGTGGTATATCTTTAAACACACATTGCACTCTATCTCAGCCGCAACCCAAGATTCTCTTCTTGATTACCATGGCTACCTTCCTACGATCCTCCGAACTCCAACATATTTCGTTGACGTCCACTAAATATCTTCCGGCAATATTCTCACCTTGTAGTGGTCACACCTAAAGAGCGCAGAAAGGGGCACTGGATCATCAAACATTCCTCGTCCATCCGCACCACGACGCCACCCTTTGTCCCGTACGCGCCTTTCACAACTGCAACATTACCACTAGCTTAACGTCGACTTCGGATACCTTGTTTATCAACTTTTATCAACTTTTATCACCCCAATAAACCAGTCTATGTAGCCAACAATCAGTTGTTGACTCCGGAAACTCATTCGCCTATCTACCTCCGAACGCTAAGTCACTATACGATCTATCGCTTCGGCCCTGACCGCCGCCGAGGCATCGCTCTGGATGACGTTGTTAAGCTTGGCAACTGGACTTCTCCCTCCACGTTCCAACCTCATGATCGTCGCAATTTGCACTCTGAGGAAGCATTTATCCTCTCTTCTCCTATCATCTCAAGTCTAAAAGTAAAGTATAGAAACCTCTGAAAGGACAGCTTGTGACAACAAAAACCGCTATTTTTCGTTTCTTCGGGAAAATGACGGCTTCTCATTGGCCGTCGCCACAGATAAAAACCAGAAGTACAGGGTGCGAAGGCAACAAACAACATGGTGTTTTTGGAACATGAAGGATGTCACCCAAGAACATAACCTTTTTCGTTAGGATTACACTTTTCTTTTATTTTTGATACGTAAGTATTTTTTGTGAACCAGTTGCTGTTTTTCCAGTGGTGGTAAGCACTCCAAATGCTAACGTGTATTGAAGCAGCTTTTTCAGCAGCCATCACTGAAACAAGCTTGCCAGTTCTTTTCATCATTGCTGATTTCTTCCAGCTATTGTTCAATAAATTGCCAGTTTCTAATATCCTCGTCTGGCAATTGCGGTGACGGGTCTCTTGTATCGCAGGCAGAGCAAGTGGCAGACTCTGGCAAGGGGATGATGCTGATGCTGATGAGTCGATGCACTGGCGCTTGCATGTTCTCAACATGGCCATTCCTTCCTTTTAAATAATCGATCGTCCTCTTTTTTGTGTTGGCATCGTCAGTGTCTTCGCCCAGCATGCCAATGGCCTTGTCCTACCG